AAAAAGTATAGTGTGAAGTAAGATAATATAAGAACGACTTCAGCCTGAAGTCAAAATTTACTGGTTCTTTTTCGCAGGGCTTTAATTAATGCATATCATATTCCCATATTTAAATAACAATATTAATCATTTTACTGTAATATATAACTATTTTTATTGGCAATTTTCTAATTGACATACAACCTACATACTTGTAAACTTTGATATACAATACCTTGTTGGCTTGATCTTTTGACAGAATCAGCGAGTATACAACTTTATTATTGCCAACGTCAACGATTGCCCAGCTAGCGAGATCACACTTCGCTAGTATAAAGTATAAAATATAGCTATTTGACCAAATGATCGCCACGAACACACACCAAAATATACACCTAGAGCAGTAGAGGAGATAGAATTCGAATTTTTATAATGTATTAAAAACAGACTATCACGTTCATTTACATATATAAATAAAAGTATTCAAACGTTCAAATAACTATTTTTTATCAACATTAGAATGTTAGGGTTTGTAATCCAAGTGAGAATATATACATTTTAAGTCCTAACCAGGAACGACTGCGAAAAATGCAGCACAAGGTCCTCTGGTAGGAATTGAACCTACGGCCCTGCGATTCCGGTGCAGCGCCCTGCGATTCCAGTGCAGCGCTCGCAGGGCCGTAGGTTCAATTCCTACCAGAGGATGGTTAGGTCCTAAAATGTATATATTCTCACTTGGGTTACAAACCCTAACATTCTAATATTAATTCCACCAAGTGAAGTGCAAGAATCCAAATAATTGATGTCCATTTTATCAACATACCTTCAAAAATATAATTCTTTTCCTCCAACTGATGAATTAGTAATATTGTAAAATAAGCCTCGTGCAATGGAAAAATATGCGACATGCCATATGGCCCATATGGCATGTCAGAATTAAATGTCATAGCTCCTATGAAGCTACGGCGCACCGAACGCAGCTTTCGGAAGTGATTGGATTGTTATCGTAAACTTCCTGCGTATATAAATTTCTACACAACGTCATTCGAATTCTGTGACGTCAGAAAATGCGACCCGAATGATCGAACGAACGAACGACAAACAAATCTCAAATGCTTTGGCTAAAATACATAAGTCGCGCGGGGATCTGGCACGAGTAAAACAAAAACTGTAAAAACTGTAAACGTTGTCAAGAATAGGTGGCTGCCATCGCTTCGCTCGGGAGCAATTAACTACAGTTAGTGCCAGTAACTACAGACCATAATTTAACTACCGGCCCATGATAAATACGAATAACCGTCGGGGTTTTGAGTTAAAGCCAAAGACCCTTCGTATGTGAATTAGTCGCGATGTCTTCCATACGTTGTCCATCACGCTACTAACTTCCAGACTGGTGGCTTCGCCTTGGAAAGTTCAAGTTCCTTCTGTATTTCAGGTAGTCTAATTATCAAACATGAAAGCCCGCAAAGTGATTTTCAATTAATTGGTTTGTGTGAATTCGTAAATGTAAACTTTAGTGACTCAGTACTGTACTCAATACACCCATCCGGAAAGTGCGTTATTTTGGCTAGAAAGCCTCGTTGTGATTTTAGTTAAAACTTGACGTGTCAATCACGAAAACGAGGCACTACAGCCGAGGTGAGGTACTTTCCGCAAGCGCGAATTTCAATTCAATTATTGTAGTGTATTTTCCCATGAAATCATGGAAGTTCATGCAGGAACTTTGGAACTTTTAAATGCCCTAACAAAAGCACAAAAATTAACAAAGGCGATTATAGCGCTAACCCCGGGCTAAAATCCCCTAATATAAAAAATCCCAGTATCTGCCTGGCTACGAGGCAGATAAGAGCTAAAAAAACCTACAACGGCCCCAAAGACGATTTACAACTTTATTGGCATTGTTTTTATTTAATAATACACCATGAAAGCAAAGCAACAATTATAATAAAACTCTGATGCATGAGAATATTGCTCTTTTGCAATCGACGCCATATTGGTTGATTTTCAAAATACTAGTGGCAACTATAAAATTCATATTCTTTATTCTTTGTCGTATTGAGCCAAAGACCATAAACTATCCATAATACAGTAACATGTTTTCAAAACAAACTAGAAAATGTTAAATTAACTCAACTACTTTGCTGTTTAAAAACGAAAGTTTAAAATCAAGCAAGATGGCGCCTAATAGTTATATCATATATATAGATGCAAGCAAAGAATAGTCATTTCAGGATGCGACTCTATGGCTATAAGACAATATTATTTTGCAAAGCAGTCGAACATACATCAATAGAATGGAAACAAATAATTGCTTAAAATTCTTTACCAGCAGAATATTTCAAGAAAAAAAATACTCCGAATAATAATGCTACATAATCTTGTAAACTCAAGATATGAGCCGTTTAAAGAAAACAAGACCCAAATTATGGTGGTGATATTTCGACTCTATTTCAGGGTCATTGCCAAACCAAACTAATTATTTATCAGCGACTAGATGAGGGATCACTTCAAGAGCAGACATTTTCTAAGTATAAAGATACTGTATGACTGTCACGAAGCAGCTGAAGGCGGAAATTATGTCCCGACATCTCAAGGTAAAGGAAACCAATTGTTCTTTGAGCGAATAGTCCAACTGCAATTTATCCGGACGAGGAATGCGTCATTTGGATGCGCAGTGCTAGTGAAAAATCCAAATTGGCTTATACAGCGCGGTTGCGTTGTAACTTGCTTAAAACATTGTCTCGTATACCGTGGCCGCAAGAGACCAAGTTACAATCTTTCAGACTGGAAGCATTTTACTACTTTCATTCCCTCACGACGCAAGATGGAATTTCTCCAGAAAAATATCAGACAGTTGAACGTCGAGTTCATAGAGAAAAACGTGCCAGACCATATGCCAAATATCAAGACTTGTCTGTCGTAGAAAGGCTTGTTCGATGTCGAACGCGAACCAGAATATATCATCTTTGGCAAAGAGCAGATGAAAAAACAGGCAACTGCCAAAGAGCATGTAGAAAAGTGTTTAAAAATTAAAATGCGTCTTTTTCTTTCTGGATGGCTGGAGGTTGCTGCACGAGTTGGAGCAACCCTTTCATTTTCGCGTTTTGACTTGGCGATGATAAACATCTTGTAGTTTAAGCAAATGAACAGGGACAAGAAGAATGAAACAAACAAAGTTATAAGTATACCAGCTGTTTTCGCGTCAAAGTACGATAATGACTCCAAACTCACTATTGTGATCATCAAAAATGCCTGAAGAAGTACAAGTCTTCTTTTCGTGACTGCGGTTTGATGAAAAAATGGATAGGTTAGGGCCAGGAATCGTTCGATAGTCAGCGTTGATAGCGCACACATTGAAAACCCTCCCAAGATAATATTTGTGTTTATCCGTGTGTATTCAATTTCTACATGATAAATTTCCATAGACCACAGAATAGTTGACAATATTATGACAGGATGAACGATGGCGACTGCGGCCATATCAAAACAAGATAAAACAAGAATCATAAAGTAGCATAGTTTCTTTCGAAGTTGTGACGACCTCCATAGACTGATTATAACCACAGCATTCAGAATTACTCCGGCAACCATGAAGGCAACATTCACAAGACACTGAAATGGCCCGTTAACAAAAGTGTTTGGATCCATTGTAAGTCCTCTCGTGCATGTAGATTTTTCCTGGTTTTTCTTTCAAAATGTGTTCTGACGCACAATGTATATGGAAATAAATTAGAAAGACTCCATACACATCGATGCACATTCATTTAATTTAAAACAGCTGTAATTTTGTCATATTGAAGTACACCCTTTATTCCAAGGCTCTTAAAACAAACCAATTATATTGCACTGTTAATGAAAACGCGTATCTTGTGTTGATATGGCTGTAGCACAGATGAGGTAAGTACAGATATGAATCTCCAGTCAAATTGCTGATTGTTTTGTGTCACACGGAATTCTCACTTCCGGCGAGCGCTGGCAAGTGTCGTTCTGAAATTTAATAAGGAAAGTGATAGGAAAACGCCGTTCGAAAGACGAAAAATTGGGTTTTTTTAAAAATCTACGCTACCGACGGCTATTTTTGGAATTAACAGTAAGCGATCACTTTTATTGATTTGTTTTTATTAAAAGTGCTAACATAACATTTTATTTAGTAAAAGTGTTTTTTTTCCCTATCTATACTCCTTATTAAAATCGTGAAATACACTTGCTGGGAATTTCAGATGCTCATGTATAAATAACAAAACAGCGAATGATATAAATTCCTCAAAACATAACTCTCGCATAAAAAAACATGAATATTTCTATAATATGTATAGTTTTATTCCTCTGCATTATCAAAATTTAATACAATAGTGAATTAATACAATTTTAAAGTTTATTTAATCGGTGTGACATAATTTGCCGCGAGATTCATATCTGTAATTACCTCATCTGTGGCTGTAGTTGAATCCAGTGACGTCTCGCGATTCAATTACGCTTATCCAATCAGGCGCGAGATTTAAATTTCAAATTTACCGTTTGTGAACCTTGTTTACCTCGCGCCTATAGTCACTCATCGTAAATTTTGTGTGGAGGCCGTTGTCACAGAATAGGAAGGTATAGCTACGGTGGCCCATAGGGGTCACGGCACAAACAAAAACTCCACGGCACAAACAAAAACTCCACGGCACGAACAAAAACTCCACGGCACAAACAAAAACTCCACGGCACGAACAAAAACTTCACGGCACAAACAAAAACTCCACGGCACGAACAAAAACTTCACGGCACGAACAAAAACTTCACGGCACAAACAAAAACTCCACGGCACAAAAAAACTTCACGGCACAAACTTCACGGCACAAACAAAAACTCCACGGCACAAGGCACAAAACTCCACGGCACAAACAAGAACTTCACGGCACAAACAAGAACTTCACGGCACAAACAAGAACTTCACGGCACGAACAAAAAGTCCACGGCACAAACAAAGTAAAAAACTTCACGGCAGATGGACGTAAGCTGTTAACGTGTTAGACAAAATGGCAGATGCCAATGAAGACGGTTTAGAAAACGATCACTTCGAAACGCATGAAGAGGACGAAGAAAGCCTCATTCGCTACTATTTCTATAGAGGTTTTGATTATAAGGAAATCGTTTTATTTTTATTACAAAATCATGATATTCAGATGAGCATGGCCACATTTAAACGACGACTGCGAAGGTACGGACTTAGGCGGCAGCTACCAGAATATGACATTGACGAAGCAAGGGCATCCATTCAAAGTCTTATTAATGGTCCTGGATGTTTGCAAGGATACAGGTCCGTATGGCATACACTGCAGCTTAGAGGAGTTAGAATACCGCGTATTGTTGTACAACAACTTCTGAAAGAGTTAGATCCTGAAGGGACTGAAATGCTGCGAAAGGCTCACCGGTTAAAAAGGAGAACTGGAGAAGATATCACAATCCTGGTCCGAACTATTCTTGGCATTGTGACGGGTACGATAAACTCAAGCCGTATGGATTCCCTATTCATGGATGTATCGACGGCTGGAGTAGAAAAATACTATGGTTATACGTAACGAGATCAAATAATCAACCAAATAATGTAGCTGCATATTATCTAGATGCTGTGGAAGAATATGGCGGATGTCCAGTTGATCTTGTGACTGACCTTGGCACAGAGAATGGCACAATGGCAGCAATCCAATCATTTCTAAGAGATGACCCAGATAGTCACAGATATGTGCCGTCGCCGCGAAACCAACGAATAGAGGCTTGGTGGGCGTTCTTAAGGAGATTACATTCAACTTGGTGGATAAATTTTTTCAAAGATATGGTGGATAACAGAGTCGTAGATCTCACTTCAGAATTGGAAATGGAATGCTTATGGTTTTGCTTCTCCCAGCTGCTTCAGAACGCCTTAGATGAAATAAAAGAACATTGGAATACTCATCGTATTCGAAAATCCCGATATGACACTGTTAGTGGCAGACCGGACTCACTGTACTACCTTCCTGAACTACATGGAGTTAATGAACGGTTCTTACTACCTGTAGGTGAGCATGAAAGCAACTACGTTCGTTCACATATCATTGAAAGTGACTATCAAAATTGTTTTCAAGATTACTTCAGGTATGTTTCAGGCATGTGTCACCTAGGACAACCCGCACATTGGAACGAAGCGCTAGATTTATATAACACTCTTCTTCAGTATGCATATAATGAGAACGAGTGAAGGGTAAAAATTAGACAGTGAATAATTAGACAGTAAAGGCATACTAAAACAAACAATACTATATCTATAATCTTTTTGGCACTCAAAATTTAGAATATGCAATTGTTTTAGACATTGCTTTCATCTGTTTAGTGTTTTAGTGTTTAGTTATAATTTAAACAGATTCTCAAATACGGGTTCAGTATCATTATTTTAAGTATATAATGGATGCATATTCTGCAGAGGTGGAAAAAGTATCGGAACCTGGGAACCTATACAGTTCCCAGAATTTTTTTTTTATTTACATTTTTCAGAAATTTTCACATACATTATTTATGTTTGATAGCTTAGGCCTGTTTTATACGTCGAATTTCGGTCGCGTCGAATGCAATTCAAACAATAGATAATGAAGTTTAATGAGGATTATCATCTCATTATCTATTAGACGCGACAAAAATTCGACATATAAAACAGGCCTAATTCTGAAAATTACACTGATTGAATATCTAAATGCTAAATACCTATAATTATTGAAATGATTGAATACATAATTAGTCTACTGGCGGAACACTTCAATCGAAAATATTCATGTTGCCTGTGGTATAGGAAATAATAATTCTATAATTCTCAATCCTGTAAGACTGTAACTATCTATCACTCTGTTCACCTATAACCCTCAAAATGAGGAATTCAAGGCTAATTATTACATACAGGCAAAAATACTGTCTTGTGTTGTCGTATGAAGCAATTATAATTACTTTAGTTTAGGAGTAACTTGTATGCCTTATTAGTCTTAACGACATATTGTTTCACACGACAACACGAAACAGTCAAAAACGATAATTTTGTTATTTTTGCCTGTATGTATAGTAATCTTTGCAGAACATTTTGAGCCCTGAACCCAGGTCCCCAGGAAGGATAAATTTTTCCACCTCTGCATGATGTTATTATGTATTAACATTGCCTGCTTAAGTAACATGTATGAAGTTGGTTATGAATACGTTCAATATATAATAGTATTAAGATGGCTCGATATAGTTATCACACGAACAAAATCGGGTGACCATTTTTTACGCAAGTCGCGGAAACTGTTTAACAAAATGAAATAAAACTTCCAAAATGACCTGACGTGGCAGTAGCTCACGCCATCGCACATCATTCCGCGTGTTCTATAGCGTTTATCTCAATTACTGACGTCATTAGAATTTTCCATTTTAGAAAAACAATGGGCTATATCTCTCTATTTTGTCTGGTGACATATGTTCAAATTTTGCATGCTGTGTTGCACCGCTAAAATCTTCCATTATACAAAAAATAAAAAAGTATGTAATGGCAAAAACATTTTACCTAAGAATACGACATTTTTGCATTTTCCAAAAAAATTGCATTACTTTGCTAATTGTTAGTTTTTCTTCCAAGTAAAATAATGCACGAAAAAAAAATGGGAATTGGGAATCACCATGCTTCTTTTCCAACTATACGAAGCGATAGGCCATTCCGGAGTGAATTTCGTATACGTATGTTGTCATCGTAACGAACTATCTGTTACTAAAACTAATATAATTTGAAATATCTGCTGAATAAATCCTAAAAATGCGTAGTTTCATGCAACATGTCAAAGTGTTGAACACCTAAATTTTTGAAAAGTGTATCGAGCCACCTTAATATCTTGATAAAAATTGCTTTCACAAGATTAGCAGGGGAAAATGTAGATAAAAATATGAAACTTTATTAACGCTTAACACGTTTTTGCAGCTATTGAAATAGTAACGCTAACATGTTTGCTTGGCAAGGGGATCTTCCACAGCTACAACAAGTGTTAATCTTTGTAATTATTTCATTGTCAAAACATTCACCATATAGTACATATAGACACATGCCTAGTTGTTGAAATTAAATGCAAAAATAATGATGCTGAACTATTATAAGCGATTTATGTTGTTCAATATAAACTTATTCGGACAGTTCGTCACAGTTGGGGATCCCTTTAACATTATCATTTAATTAAACTTAAGCGTTCTTATCGCTAAACACAACATTAACAGCAAAACTGCTGATCGAACGACAGTTGAATACATATTCTTTGATAATTCTTAGATACCTTTGTGCAATACTCGCTGTATATTGATGTAACTTCAACACTTATGGTTTTGCAAAGTCCTGACCGTTGCAAAATCCAAGTAAAAAGACATCCTTAAATGTCTGATAATTCTTCATGTGACTAACTGGAAATGTTATCACTCTTCCACATGCCCCTACCAGAGGAAAGCAAAGAGAATGCGCTGGATTTCGGATTAGACATTCGTGATCAAACTTTGCTTGAATCTTGATCTTTTCTCCATTTAACTGCCGATGCTTCTGGCCTGTAAGCCATTTCATTACTCCCGCAGATGACAAATCCGCTGACGTCTCTTCTGTCGACTCTGCCTCAGCTTCTGCAACTTCTTCACCCTGATTTTCGCTGTCGTTCCATACCGGAGGAGTTGTATAGCCACTAATTTCTCCACCATCCAAAGCCATAAGTAGATCTTGGAAGTTATCCATGAGAGTTTCCTCAAGTTGTCGTCGCGAAGAGCCAACAGGGGAGAACACAGGTTGCATCAAACTGAACAAATATGTGGCATCAACGTTTTCCAATCGATTTTGTACAAACAAAGGCTCGCACACTTGAGGATAATCATCCAGGATGGTGGAGAGTCCAAACAAAGACAGACCTTCCTTAAATTCTCGTAGGTATAAGAGTCGCTTATTAACTAGGCTTACTTTCATCGATCTAACTATGTCATCGATGTGTTTTTCATCAACTGGACCAGTGTACCCATGTTCTAAAACTGAATCTCTATGTAGATTGACATTAATTTTTACGCTGTCGATGACTTGCTTTTCAGTGGCAGTCATACAATCCTCGGAATCCATATCCAGAGCATTCATTTCAGGATGTATCAGACTTTGAAATGCTTTCTCATCCATGAAGCAAGGTGGTGGCCCTCCATTTGCTAGGCTGCTAGCCACAATTTCACCACTAGTTCTGAAGTTCCCATTTTGTACATGGTGAGTTGAATCAACAGGGGTACCGTTAGGAAACAGCATATCTCCTATTGCAGGCACTACATCCGTAAAAAACTCCCTTGTCAATGCCCCACTGTCAATTCCATCCTCTTCAAGAAATTTTATTCTCAACTCGTGATGTACACCTTGCTTCTTGGCTTCATATCGCCACAAGTTTAACACACGTGGTAGTGGTGTTCTCCGTCTTACCGTGATGAAAAACTGTTTTTCTTTGTTCACACTCTTTTCCAAGGCTTGGACCACATCAGTAATTGTGCTATAATCATGGGGTGTACTGATTCCGCTTGTTCCCTCTAATTGATTACTGTCTGATGTATCATTCGTGATTGACACAGTTTGGTCGAGCAAATTATGAGTAACACTTGTTTGAAAGGAGTTCTGAGAGCTGCTTTCACCTTGTAATTGTCTCTGGAGTTCAATGGCAAATGCTTCATCATTGTTGATCAAATCTGCTGTATCATCAAATTCAGTGAGGTCCCAGTCAACAACTTCACAATTAAAACAGTCCTCTTTAAGTCGCTTTGGTTGAATGTTGAATTCTTGTGCTGAGTCCGAGTCTTCATTCTCCATAGGAGACTCGCGATCGGCTCTCTCTGAATGCAAAAAATCGTCAGAAGTGCACAGGTACATAGTAATTCTCTTAAAATCCTTTCCTATTTCCTCTTGATAACGTCCCAACGAAAAAAATTCTTTCGTAGGCCCAGGTAAAAATATCGCCTCTTTGCCACTGTCAAGTAAAAGAACATACGTATGGTTTTCACTGTAAAGGTCAGGATTGTAGGCTTTCCACTTCTCTAAAGCTTTCTCACACAACACTTTGTATGGATCTTCTTTACATACTTTGAGTGCCAGACGCTTCCCTCGCATGGGCTTGAGCTTCAGATATTCTTCAGACCACTTCATTATTCCAATAAATATTACCACTTCTTGGTTCCGCGATTTGGCTTCTACTTCTGTTCCTTTTCCTTTCCCTTTCTTTGCCTTAGTTGATGGAAACTGCCGCCCAGTTCCAGTTTTCTTCTCATAATATTGCTTGAAATTCAACACTCGACCAAAACGACCTTTAGGCTCTGGTTGTTTTGAAGACGAGGAACTTTGCTCATTTGATTCAGACTGACTGCTTGTTTGAGGTTCTACAACAAAAATTTGTAATAAAAAATTACAAGTACTCTTATATATGAAACCAAAAAACATAGTTAACGATTTCTCTCAAATTTCATATGCCTGCATTTTGGGGGTTGGCATGGGGTTAAGGCTGTACCTGTTTTTCTTTGTAATGTATTTTGATGGAGTATAATATTGAGTGTAAACGAATAATGTAAAAACACTTAAAGAATCACAGTCAACCGTGATGACATCCGAAGCGTATTCTTATCAATCTGTTAATATTAGACGATCATATTTTTCATATTATTTTTCATATGGTCATGCATTACTGCACATACAGTATGTGGGTTGGGAATTTTACAACACTGAAGGACCCCAGGGTGGGACAAATTTGCAAAGCCATCAACTTCAATAATTGAAAAGACTGGACCCACCTGGTGATCCTGGGTGGATACAATGTGATGAAAGTGACCTATGGTTCTGCCTACAGTGCACATGTTTGAAGCCCTGGGGGGTATTGGCGAAATGTTAGTCACAGGGCCTATCAGAGAAAGTTTTTGTTTCGGGAAATTTTTTTTCGGGGAAATTTTTTTAGGGCCAATTTTTGTTTCGGGCGCCCTATGTTTTCCATTTGCCCTATTTATTTTTCTCAAAAATGTTGGCGACCAAAAAATTTTTTTCTGGACAAATCCCTGTTACAACATGGGTCAAACCCTTTTTTTCAATCAATAAATGTAAAATTTTGGTTTAGAAAATTTTTTCACATTATTTTAATATATCGAAAATATTTATATTTATCATTTTATCATTATTTTTTTTCAATTTTGCAAATTAGCCCCCCCCCTCCTTAAACTGGGGCCTGGAGCAAATTGCCCCCAGTGCCCCCCCCCCCCTCTGAAAGGCCCTGGTTAGTCATTACATATTACAAAATTAAATCACAAAATACGTATTCCAATTTCATTCAATGAGACAAATTATGGAAACTAGAATATTATAAAAGTGTAAGTAAACAATTACATGTAGGCCTAAGGCTATGCTTTCAGATATCATTCAGTAATATCATTTAAGTTATGACATTATAGTTATGATTAAATGGCGAAAAACCACGATAAAACATGCGCGTTTTAATTTTTAAACTGGAACAAAATTCCCGTCCCTGGGGGTCGACGACTTCTAGTAAGCAAATGCACGACCCTAGGAACATGTGCAGACGGCAAATGCCTCAAAAATCCCGGGCGATACGCCGATAGGGATGAACATGGAATTGATCGAGACATCAACAATCTAGCAAATTATTCGGGGTTTTTTCCAAATTAAAACATATTATGGACAATAACATTACCTTTAGTTCCACAGTTTGGACAAAATTTTATATTCTCCTGCAACTGTTGGCCACAAAAGCAGCAAAACATTTTGAAATTTGAATATATATTAGAATAAACTCATAAAAGATTCATGAACACGTGTAACGACAATGACACGAAGTCGATAAGGCTAAGTAAATGCTAAGTAACATGAAGTTTTGAACTGGGGATATTTGGTTCGTGCTGTGGCGATATTATGTTTGTGCCGTGAAGTTTTTGTTCGTGCCGTGAAGTTTTTGTTCGTGCAGTGGAGTTTTTGTTCGTGCCGTGAGTTTTTGTTCGTGCCGTGGAGTTTTTGTTCGTGCCGTGGAGTTTTTGTTTGTGCCGTGGAGTTTTTGTTCGTGCCGTGGAGTTTTTGTTTGTGCCGTGGAGTTTTTGTTTGTGCCGTGAAGTTTTGTTCGTGCCGTGACAATATCTTGTTTGTGCCGTGACCCCTATGGGCCACCGTAAACGCAGGCTTCTGATTGGCTTACACTCGTTGACAAAATTACTAAAAATAGCAAATGTCAACAACAGCATTTTGAAGAATTTGAACTTTATTCATTTTAATATTATATATTATAAGACTATCGAACAAATAAAACTAGAAATGGAAACCAAAAGCAATAGCAAAGCATCACAGCAAAAAGTCTATCATAAATGACTTGAATCTATCGCTTAAATCCAATATACGAAACTATAACAGTATTCTGAACTTTCGGATTGACATCAGACTGTAGTATAGTACATTTTGAAGTCGTCGTGGCTTCACGGATTATTCTCATTAGTGAGCAAGTCAGCAAGCGAAGGTATACAAAAGATACCCAAATATGTACGAATAATTATATTGTTGATCCTCGCTGGCATGTCATTTAGATATAAATATATATCGTACATTAAACGCTGTACTATTTACTGTATAAACTGCTGACAATTTCGTCGTCGATACGGCTTCCACCACTATGCTTCCCGACTATTGGCACACTCGTGATTTCGAAGAAATTAATAAATACATGCTCATTTATCATTTATTTAGACCACAGTTAGTAAAATTTTAGACGTATTCGGTATTCCAAATCCCAATCTATCTGACCGTATTTTAGTAATAGCTTCAAATATTCAGAACATTGTTCTTTCAGTCGCACATAGTACAAGAATTACTGTACATTGATTCAATGCCAATGGTAGTATTTTATTCGGCTTTATATTTGTATGTGTATTGATATCTATTTAATATTTGAAGAATTCTATATTTTTCCGAGTAATATTTTGTGCGGCCCGCTAATGCTTTGTATTATTGTTCATATATACATTATGTATACATTTTAATATTCAGTTTTCTTCGTTGCATAATGTACACGCCTTGCGTCAATTTGACAGTTGACAGTTTATTTATCGCAGTCGACGCTGATTGGTTCGTGTTTAGCAGATGCGAAAAGGGGATGATTGAATAAAACGCATGGTTCCGTGCAGGCTCACCTTTCTCCCAGTGAGCCTGTTCGCAGGCTATAATCAACTTAACCGTAGCCTCACAAGGTTATACCTTTAAGTTGTGAAACTCAATAATTCATGATGACAGCTAGACTTGCCACAAGTCGACCATGGGGAAGGGAGGGCGCGGGGGAGGGAGCGCGCGACCCGAGCGACGAAGTCGCGAGTGGTCGACTTGTGTCGCTTGCAGGAATTTAAATCGCATCAAAAATTTTGGCGCGAATAATTTTGACATATTAAAAGGGTGTGTACATTTCATACAATTACTTCACCGCGCCGACAATGCGACAATGGGTCTACAAAAACAAAAACATTCTCTAGAATTGATAATTGTTGGTAGTCGAATGAAACAGTTCGCACCAAGTGTGGAAACGAAATAACTGACCTAAGTTAAGTAAGCGCCGAAAGCTGTTCAATGTATCAACGCTGAAACAAGTGCATGTAAAAACTTATTGAAGCTTCACAGTTGTTTGTCTATTAAACAATGTGTGCCGTAATTATGTCGACAAGAATAGTCTGACTCAGTTCGCCAGCGATTTAATTAACGTATAGCTAGTAGAAGTTAATCTATAAATTGAAAAGAATCAGACAACTGTAACCAATAAACTAGAAGACGTCGCTAGAGTTCAAAATCCAGTAAAAATACGCGTTGTTTTCTCAGCAAGCGAATTTGTAATAATCAGTAATCGAGATCAAGAAACCCAAACTAAACCCGAAACTAGTGAGGAAATTTTTGAATCATGAGATGCATCTTCGGTGACGGTGGTAGTATTAAAGTTTATTTCCACACCCTGTACTTTATACTCAATGTAATGTCTGTTTGTGTATTTTTACATGGTTTTTGTGTTCTACAAAATTGTAATTACATTGTTTACTCTGTTTGCTTCAATAATACACATTTGTTCAACAAAAAGCATGAGAATATAATGTTATTTTCAGACTCCTTCGATAATGACCGATAATGTAACCGCTTCGACCTTCAATGTAAACAATGACGTCACCGGTGGATTTT